ACCTTCAGTTACCAGAGCAACGGCCAAACTGACAGGTCAGTACCGGGTGATGTCAAATCCTGATGAAAAGTTCTTGTTGGCCTTAAATGACTTTAAATTCAGTGAAGTGCAATTGTGTCCGATCTGGGAACTACACAGATGTGATAGAAGTAGTGGATGCATTAGCCTCTTGATCTTCATGTCACTAACACAGGGGAATATTGGGATCAGAGGTGCTGGGACCCACTTCACCACCTCTTACTGCCTGCCTCAGGATCTAGACGTGCTGGTGTCTTTTAAATGCAGAAGCTACTCTGGTATTGATGCCACCAGCTGATCTTTATGAGAATGAGGTGTTGTTTGGTGGGGGTGGTAACAAAAGTGAGATTGTTGTTGTTTAACTGAGACAAAGGGCATTGTTTCAAGACTAACCAAGAAATCTGTTTCCTATACAGTCAATCATATTATAGAGCTATTCAGATCGAAGAGTAGGTAAAATCATAGTGAGTCTGATCCAGAGGTGCTGGAACCTGGGGGTGCTGGAGGTGCTCCTGTACCCGCTGGCTTGAAGTGGTTTCCATTATATGCAGGGTTTACAGTTTGGTTCAATGGCTTTTAGCACCCCCACTACACAAATTGTTCCAGCACCCTGGTCTGATTTTGCTCTGAAGTTAGTGGGGGGAGGGGTTGCTATGGAATTCAATGTGATGAAGATCAGCCCTAGGTTTTCATGTGACTAGTGACTGGGAAGGCACGGAGCACCAGCCACTCCTATTGCAATAAAGGAGAGCTGAGGGCACTTGGCACCTCATAGAACAGGGCACATGGCTTATCAGACGCTTACACTGGGAGTGCAAGGCCAGGCAGAAGTGCTGCAAGCTCAAGGCATTCAACTACAAACACTCAAGTTATTCCCCGGGAACACTGCTTAGCCTTGTGCAGGCCGGCCTGAATGCTTTGGAAGGAAAAGTCCATTCTCTGAGGCAATCTACTGCATTATCGCCTGTTCACATTGCTCTCGTGTTGGCTGAGCTTGGTCTTCCCCTAACAACACACTTACCATTAAAATTAACCATTCTGAAATCTTTGCAATCTCTCCCCCAATACCCTCAAACTCGCTGTCCAGTCTTTATCCATCTCTCCCTTGACTCTCTCTCTGTAGTGACAACTTATATATCCAAACGGTCATGGACCTCAGCTTGATGGTGCATCTCAGAATCCAGACGCCCCTGCATCACAACCATCTCGTTTACTGGCTCAGTTCTCAAGGGCGTCGATTCCACAAGGCCTGCAGATTAGCACATCACCATACGGGTATTTCCCACTATTCTCTTCTCACCTCTCATTAAGGATTTGTGCCAGGCTCCAAGATAAGCCCTAGTCTACACTACAGACTTGTCAGTATAACTACGTCACTCAGCTTTGTGGAAAATCACACCCCTGAGCTAGGTAGTTATACTGACCTAACTTGTGGTGTAGACAGCCCTAAGTCAACGGGAGGTCTTCTCCCATCAATATAGCTACTGCCTTTCAGGGAGGTGGAGTACCTACATGGGAGAAGCAGGGCCGGATCCAGCTACCAGCTTGCCAAGAAGGTGCTTGGGGCGGCCACTCCGGAGATGGGCGGCATGTCCAGCTATTCGGCGGCAATTCGGCGGACGGTCCCTCACTCCTGCTCAGAGCGAAGGACCTCCTGCCAAATTGCCGCTACAGATCGCGATTGCGACTTTTTATTTTTTTTCTGCCCTGCTTGGGGCGGCAAAATCCCTGGAGCCGGCCCTTGGGAGAAGCAACCATCGGTGTAGGTGGTTCAGGCAGCTCTGCTGTGGCCCTGATTCTTTACGTCCCCCAGAAGCCACGCAGAGTGATCCATCTCATTTCAGAAATTATGAGAGTCAAAGAATTCTGGTTCCTGGGTATTTTGGGATCCATTGGGGTTCTGGAGAATCACAGTGCACATATCGCTGCAAATGGGATATAATTACTTTAATTATCAGAGGTAGCCGTGTTAGTCTGAATCTGTAAAAAGCAACAGAGGGTCCTGTGGCACCTTTAAGACTAACAGAAGTACACTCACTTTAGCACTCAGTACTTCTGTTAGTCTTTAAGGTGCCACAGGACTCTCAATTACTTTAATGTTTCCCTGATGCAGATAAAGTGATCAGAGAAAGAAAGGAGTTCCTTAAAGATGAGCGACAGCCTGAAAAGATCCAGAGGAGGCGCCACCTGGACTTTCTGGACATCCTTCTGAGTGCTAAAGTGAGTGTTGCAAGAATTGATCGGAGCCAAGTATGTGAGCATTTTGAGTAGCAGCGCTGAGAGAGGCCTGGGCATTGTGGACAGCAGCTTCTGAAAAATATATTTTTCGTTCAGGGAAAAGGTTAAAGTTGATTGGCCGGATTCATTAATGTTCAGAAGCATAGTTTTGACACAAGGGATGGATTCTGTCCCAACTCTGTGGCTGCAGAGCTTGGCAATATACAGAGTCCTGTGTGCATAGCTAAATCCTTGTTCATGTGCAGTCTGGGTTATAAACCACACTTAGTCCCAGTTACCTAAAGTAAAGTCACTGGCAAGACATAAGCAGACTCCTGTAGATCAAAAGAGTGATCATTTTATAGACATGATCATTTTAACTCAAGTATCAGGGGGTAGCCGTGTTAGTCTGTATCCACAAAGACAACGAGGAGTCCGGTGGCACATATGTTAGTCTTTAAGGTGCCACCAGGCTCCTCGTTTTGACTCAGCAATGACTGGCTGGCAATGTAATTACGCACGACTGTGCATACCATTGAAGCACAGCTTTGTGTTAGGCTGGGGAAGCTCCAGGAGGAGAGAGAAATTTCCACCCGCTGCTGCACTGTGCATGGGGGTACTAGTAAGTCCATTGCTATATCCCTTCTAAGGGATGCCATGTGTCTCCCTTGGTGCATCACGCCCTTTCCACGGGCTAGTGAAGGGGGAGGGGACAAGCACATCCCAGCTTCCTCCTTACCACTCATCCTCCCTCCACGAGGTTTCTTGTCCTCCAGAGGGAGCAAGCAGGAAGCAGTATCTGCATTCGAGGGACAGCAAGGACTGCAGCTGTACCTGTCTGCATCCCAGGAGTTCATTGCACATGTGGGGTTCCTTACGTTTCTCCCCAAGCTATAGGGAAGGTCTGTCCCACTGGGATCAATGCTCCAGGGTTTCCTTTCTAACATGTTGGTCACTTAAGCTCTGATAAGCAGGAAACCTCATGTCTCTTTCCTGGGAATGCCCATGAAACCTGATAGAAGCCATGTGTTGTTAGGATGAAAACGGAGCTGGATTCTCTGATGAAGACCTACGTGCCGAGGTGGACACGTTTATGTTTGCGGGTCACGATACCACAGGCAGTGGGATCTCCTGGCTCTTGTACTGCCTGGCCCTGCACCCAGAGCACCAGCAGAGATGCAGGGAAGAGATCAAGGAGATTCTGGGAGACAGAGATACTGTTCAATGGTGAGAACTTATTTTCCTTTCAAGTCACCTCCCAAATAACTTTGAACCCCCTATCAGGTGATCAGTTCATTAACCCCAGTTGTCTCTCCCCCTACACCCCACTTCCCAACTGGGAAAGCTAGTTCTCCTGGACTTCGGGCAGCCTTTTTCTTCTGGGGTGAACCCACTTGAATGGAGGACCATCAAGGTTGATGATTCTTGATGATTTCCCATTTTTAGCTCCTATGCTAGAAGTAAGGATTTCCCCCAACACCTCCTGGGTGGCCCAGCTCAAGATGGAGGCCACAATACAAACCAGAGGGCACATGGCAGATTATAGTCAAAATGGCATTAAAAAAACAGAATGGCGTTTGCAGCTTGACATGAGACACCTGTCCCATCTCTGCATAGACCATTGGTGAGACAGATTCTGGAATGCTGCATTAGGGCGACCAGACAGCAAGTGTGAAAAATCAGGACAGTGTGTGGGGATAATAGAAGCCTATATGAGAAGAAGACCCAAAACTGTCCCTATAAAATCAGGACATCTAGTCACCCTCTACTGCATCCAGTTCCAGTCTCCATGTTTTAAAAAGGTTGTTGAAAAGTTGGAAAGGGTGCTAAAAAGAGACACCAAAACACTTCAAGGGCTGGAGAAAATGCCTTACAATGAGAGACTTAGGGTATGTCTACACTACCCGCTGGATCGGCGGGCAGCGATCGATCCCTCAGGGGTTGATTTCGCAATAAATCAACCCCCGAGCACTCTCCTGTGGTCTCCTGTACTCCAGCTCGGAGAGAGGCGCAGGGAGAGTCGACAGGGGAGCCGCTGCTGTGGACTCACCGCGGTGAAGACACCATGTAGCTGAAGTTACATAACTTAGATCGATTCCCTCTACCCCCCAATCTGTTTAGTTTATCAAAAAGAGGATTGAAAGGTGACCTGATTACAGTGTCTCTCATGGGGAGAAAATACCAGGTACTAAAGAGCTCTTTAATCTAGTGGGGAAAGACATAACAAGAGCCAGTGGCTAGAAGCTGAAGCCAGACATACTGCAATTAGAAAATGGACACATTTTTAAAAGTGAGGGTGATTGACCACTGGAACAAAGAATGAGAGGAAGTGGTGGAGTCTCTATGTCTTGATGTCTTCGTATCAAGGTTGGATGTGTTTTTGGAAGATATGCTTTAATCAAACATAAGCTATTGGGCACAACTGGGCTCAGTTCAGAGGAACCTGGGTGAAATTTAATGGTCTGTGATATATAGGAGGTCAGACTAGATGATCTAATGGTCCCTTCTTGCCTTAAGACCTAATAACTCTATATATTATAGGTGGAGAGGTAGAGACGGTTGCCTAAGTGTGTCCATTCTAATCACCCTTCCCCTTTCAGCTCCTTTTAAACTAAGGGAGCCAGGCAGAGTACAGCACCCCCTTCGCTTATAAAACCAGAGGGAGAACTCTCCCTCCTCTACTTGGCGTGCATAAGCAGGGCCTCCCCACTGCTCTCCCTCCTCCTTGGCTGTTGCACTGAGAATTCCCATCTGCTTACAATCTGCTTGACTTACTGGTTATAACATTCACCTTTCAGTTTTCTATTTTCCAGGTCACAGCTCTGCCTGTGAGGGAATATCCGTAGAAAATATGAACAATATCTTTTTGTCAGTTGTTCCCAATCTCTGCTTCTGGTTCCTCTCAGGGAGGACTTCGGGAAGATGACCTACACCACCATGTGCATCAAAGAGACTCTGCGTCTTTACCCTCCAATACCTTTCGTAGCACGAGAACTCGGTGCACCTGTAACATTTGTTGATGGACGTACCTTACCAAAAGGTCTGCTTAGTCTATCTCCCCTTTAAATGCTAATTAGGCTGCTGTGTGTCTGTACATCAATGGCAGTGATGCTCATGTCTCTTACTTGTATACTGCCTCTCATTCCAAAAGCATTTCATATACAGAGAATGAAAGGGGAAAGGGGAATTCTTTAAGGAGACACAGGGACTATTATTATTATTAGCCTTGACTTAGGCTAAATATCAAAAACATCCCAAACGCAAATTCAACTACCATGTCCGTGTGGACGATTCACAGATCTGCCTCTCTACCTCCAAAGGAGATTTGTTACTAATCTAGTTTTACAGGATTCCACAAGTGTAGATGGACAGAGCACCATAGTCTATGACACGTTTTTCCTGTCTTATGATGATTTATTTCTCTCATTCTTAACAGGCTCCCTGGTTTCACTGAATATTTATGGTCTTCACAGAAACCCCACAGTCTGGCATGATCCAGAGGTACTTCTTTTTTTACTAGAGACTGATAAGATATTTTTGGAGGTGGGATAGCTATTCCTCGTGCAGACTCACTTGTTGAATCAACAAGAAGTTCCTATTTGCACAGGAAGCAGCAAGCAGGCCCTTTTCTTGGGTAGATGGCCATTTTTCACTAGATGTATGTAGATAACACAATGTTCATGCTGTATGAGGACTCCACTTAACTGTAGATTGTAGGGGATATGTGAAGACCTTTGGATAATGGGAGGTCCAGACAAAACTAAATTTTATTTCTATGTGAATTTTTAATTAAGGGTGGAGAGAGAACCAGGTTCACCCATGAATTGGGCCAAATCCTAAAGCTGACGCAATACCTTTCATTGCCCTGACTCCTCCCAGATTTGTTTGGGCCACACCCACCCATCTTCATTTTGGGAAGTTTGTAGATCTCTCAAGGATCTTCTGTACGGGCCCATTTCTCTGCTGTAATCTAGGAGTCATATACTAATACAAGGTGTTAGCTATGGAGAGAGACTGTGATGGAAATTGTGTCCCTTCTCCCTTCCCAAACCATTGGTACACATTGCCCTATGGCATTAAGATAAGGCCGTTCACTTGCCTTTAGTGGGCTTGTGCAAGGGTAACTGAGAGGGGAATCTGGCCCTTACTAGCTAAGCTCGGTTGCCAAACTAAGCAATAGTTTCAGAACTACGTGTCTTTACTATTCTTTGCAGGTCTTCGACCCTTTGAGATTCTCACCAGAGAACTCAGCGGGACGCCATTCCTATGCTTTTCTGCCTTTTGCAGCTGGACCCAGGTGGAGTACATTGAATTCTATACGTCGCTTTAGTTAAATAAAATCCTCTTCCCTGGACACTGATGAATCACTCCCACCTTGGAGTGACATTCCGGTTCCCGTGAAGTCATTGCGAATTTTGCCATTGACTTCAAGGGGAATAGAATTTCACCTTTTGTCTTTGCCATGTGCCATATCAAACATCCCCTAACTTTGGAAACTCTTAGACCTGGATCCAGCTCAGGCTTATGTCTGTTTAAATGCACAGCATGTCAGAACAATACCTCCATAGCATCTTCAATGTGGTCCCCTATACGTGGTTTGACCTTGAACTCATCGGCAAGGCCCCTGCTTCTCTCCACTGTTACGTCCCACTTTTTGCTGTGCTGCCTGTAGGGAACCTTGTTGATTGGTATAGAAAATTATTTTGTTATTTTCCTGCCCTGGACTCTGTCTGCTTCTTTGTTTGTCAACTCTTTGGGGGAAGGGACTGTCCTTTGTTGTCTATCTTGCCAAGTGTCTAGCACATTGTAGGCTCTATTGCACAATAATATTAGTTATTAGGACATGGGGTGGTCTAGTGGACAGGGGCACTGCTGTAAGTCTGGAGACTTGGGATCTATGCCTGGCTTATCCACTGATGTGCTGTGGGACCTTGGGCCAGCCAGTCTCCTCTGGGCCAGGTCTGTAAAACACACATATTGTGAGGATAAATTCCATTAATGATTGCAAGTTGCTCTGATATTACTACTAAGGACCAAACAGGTAAGAAAATATTGCAATAGAATACTCCTACTTGATTCAAATTGATCTAGATCGTAATCTGGGTGCAAGCGAATAATATAGTTTTAATCGGGCTAAATGTAAATGTCTGCATCTGGGAACAGAGAATGTAGGCCATACTTACAGAGTGGTGGACTCCATGCTGGGAAGCTGTGACTCTGAAAAAGATTTAGGGGCCGGGTAGATAATCAGCTGAACAAGAGCTCCCAGTGTGATGCTGGGGCCATAAAAGGGATGCATAAACCAGGGAATCTCGAGTAGGTGTAGAGAAGTTATTGGACCTCTCTCTGTGGCACTGGTGCAATCACCATTGGAATACTGTGTCCGGTTCTGGTGCCCACCAGTCAAGAAGTAAGTTTTTTGTTTTGTTTTTTAAATTGGAGAGAGTTCAGAGAAGAGCTACAAGAATGATTAAAGGATTAGAAAACCGGCCTTATAGTGATAGACTCAAGGAACTCAATGTATTTAGCTTAATAAAGAGAAAATTAAAGGGTGATTTGATCACAGTATTTAAATATCTACCATGCTCTTTAATCTAGCAAAGAAAATTATAACACGCTCCAATGGCCTAGAAGTTGAAACTAGACAAATCCAGACTGGAAATATTGCGTACATTTTTAATGGTGAGAGTAAGTGGCCATTGGAACAATTAAACAAGGATCGTGGTGGATTCTCCATCACTAACTATGTTTCAGTCAAGATTACATGTTTTTCTAAAAGTTCTGCTCTAGGAATTGTTTTGAGGAAATTCTCTGACTTGTGTTAGATAAGGGGTCAGACTAGATGATTGCAATAGTCCCTTCTGGCCTTCGAATCTATGGGTACGTCTTCACTTACCAGAGGGTCCGGCGGCGGGCAATCAATGTTCTGGGATCGATTTATCGCATCTGGTTAAGACGCGATAAATCGATCCCGAATCGATCCCGGAAGTGCTCGCCGTCGACGCCGGTACTCCAGCTCCGCGAGAGGAGTACGCGGCATCGACGGGGGAGCCTCCGGCCGCGTCTGGACCTGCGGTAAGTTCGGACTAAGGTACTTCGAATTCAGCTATGTTATTAACGTAGCTGAATTTGCGTACTTTAGTCCGAAGTGGGGATTTAGTGGGGACCAGGCCTATGAAAAAAAGGGGTTAGTGCAACCATGTCATCCCGTCCAAATGGAGAAAATCCAGCAAGAGGAAACCCACCATCCTGCTGGCTCTCAAATCAACATCCAGTTTCTAAGGACAGCACTACCATTTCCCGCATTTCAGTGGGGCCATCACAGCATCAGCTCATACTCCGTTCTTGAAATGCATCAGCATAAGGGATACTGTTAGAAATACCAGCAGTATTTCCAACCCCAGAGATTACAAAATCATGAATCAGACCCAAACCACCACGAGATGGGCTCAGAAATCATGAGGGTTTTTTTCCAGATCGTGTTGTGTTTTTTGATGTGTGAACTCCCCGTGCTCACCCCAGTGTTTGGGTGACAATTAGTGTGGCCAACACCTCCAGGTTTATTAAGGTGATATTGGTCTCTGCTGCAGTTGTTCCTACCTAGAACTCTATCCATCCCCCTGCCAAGCAATCAATTCTGCCCCCCACCCCACTGCCTCCTTAAATCTTGCCTCCACATCAATTCGGTCCGTTCCCAGCCTCCCTTCTGCTCCTCCTGCAGCTTCAGTTCCTCAACCTCCTCTCCCAGGCTTGGAAGGATACTGCAGCAAGGTGCCCTCTCCCCTTTCAGGGCTGGGCGTGGCAGGCAGGGGGAGAGGCTGGGAGGAGCCAACCCTGTTGTTCGCAAGCAGGAGACGGGGGAGCAGCCCTGAGTTGCTGGGCTTTTTCTGCTCATCCTGTAAAAACAATGTCAGCTACTAAGAGGAGAGCTCTGCCTTCTTCCTGCAGCTGCTCGGATTGGCTGCTCTTCCCCAAGAAGTGGGGCAGTGGGGAAAGCAGCCAATCACAGGCTTTCCCTTCCCCCCTCCCCCCAGGAGCTGAAATTCACTAGAGGGCTTAAGATTCTGGCGTTACCTGACTCTAGTCCTGGCCAAACTCGTGACTTGTGAAGAACTACCCTGTACATATTCTTCACTATGGAGAGAGGAGGTGGCAGCTTTCCTGCTGTATTCACAGCAGAACTGTACATGTAATTGTCACCTGTGTCTAGAATCCTTCTTCCCTGACTAGAGCCTGCAACAAAAGAACAAACCTTTGGTTTTATTAGAAATCAGCCAAGAGATACACCGTTAGGTGCTGCTCATTGCTCTCTCCTGTTCCACCACAGGGACCAGATTCCCAGCCAGTGTAGACGGCATAGTTTCATCAACTTCACCGAATCTATGCTGATTCACACCAGCTCTCTGCCTATGTTTGTTTCTGATGAACTATCCAGTAGAGCTGGTGAGGAATTTCCCGTTGGAATAATTTTCTGACAGAAGAGGCAATTTCTTCCAAACTGAAATTTTCCTTTGGAACATCTAAGTGAATGCTCCCCAGTCTCCCCACGCTGCCTGCCTGGCTTACAGGAGTTTTCATTTAGTTTTTCCTCAAAATTTTCCAACAAAAATTGGACATGTTCTTGAGGAAAATTTCATTTTTGCTAAGACTGCATTTTCTGTTGGAAAATCAGTCCAGTGGGAAAATCCCAACCAGCTTCAGTGCTCAGTTTATCCGAAACAAATACAGGTAGAAAGCTGATGCTTAGCCAATCTCAATCCACATAGAAAAGTTGATGGCTCTTTGCCACTTTGAACTGACTTCGGACCTGGTCTTTATACTAAAAAAAACAATGAGGAGTCCTTGTAGCACCTTAGAGACTCCCCAGGCTGTCGCATCTCCAGGCTTATTTGAGATGAAAAAAATGACAAAAATGCGAAATTTTGTTGTGGGAAGGAATTTCCCTTTTCCAGCCCTTTCTACTAACCACTCAATAGAAGTGAATCCCGTTAACTATTTCAGTGGCCGGCTCTTGTGCTCGGTTTACTATATGAAGTGGCTTTGGTAACTTTAGAGAGGAAATATTTGTCGCTTCTCTCTGCTCAGGAACTGCATCGGGCAGCAGTTTGCCATGAACGAGATGAAGGTGGCTCTCGCGCTGACTCTGCTGCGCTTTGAACTCTCCCCTGATCCAGCCAAGCCCCCCATCAAAATACCTCAGATCGTCCTGCGCTCCAAGAACGGGATTCACCTGCACCTGAAGAAACTCCAGTGACACTTAAATCACTGGGACAGGATGTGATACATGACAGAGTTTAATCTAAATTTGATTGAATAACTAGAGCTGGGTGGGAACTGAAATTCCCCTTTCACAGGAAATTCTGTGATTTCAAAACGTTTTCATTCAGAATTGCAATGGAAACAAGAGAATTTCAAAATTTCCCACCAAGTGAATTTTTAAAAAATCATTTTAATAAAATTTTAAAAATTCTTCCGAGTTTATCAAAACTTTTTGCTCTGATTTTGCCTTTTAAATAAAAGGCAAAACAAAAAGTTGGTCTGAAATAAACAAATCTAAACCTGTAACGGTGTCAAAAAAGATTGATAGATTTTTTAGGAAAAACAAAATTCTGTCAAAAGCAACAAATTCTGTTGAAATTTTCCCAATCGGTTCTAGTCAAAACAAAGGCTGTGTTTTATCTCTGCAGATGTATCCCTGCTAACTCTTCTTTGTGATTAACGAAAAAAATATTTGGGGGGTGGAGAAAGGACCATGGAGATGCAGCTGTGTATTTTTATTGATCATCATAATAGTTTATCAAGGGCTCAGTGTTGTACAGAAGAGAGAGGACAGCGTCCCAGCTCTGAGAGATTTGCAGTTGGGCTAGATTCTGACACAAGAGGTGAAGGAGGGACGGGAGAGAGTAAAGAGACTTCCTCTCCCCTTGTATGCTCTGCACATGGGCCTGCCAGATTTCCAGCCCCTGTGCAGGGACCACTTCCTCGGAGGGAGTGAGATGAGTAGGTAGGGAGTTGTACTGGTGTACCTCAGAAAGGGTACTGCAGTAAGTCCACCAAGGGACGGGAGTGCTCTGCAATTCCTGCTGGAGTAGTGTGCCTCCACACTGCGCCCCAGGCGATGCTACGCTTACTAGGAAGAAGCCCTACATAGCGGTAATGATCGTTATTGTTTATTTACATGAGTGCCTAGAAGCCCCAATCAGGGATCGGGACCCAGGTGGGCTGTTTGGGCACTGGACACTTCACATGATTCTAGATAGGACGTAAATCAATGGCAGGTTCGTTGCACAAAAGTTGCCTCTCTTTAATCTTCCCCTGCCTTCCGTTCAGGGCACTGCAACGGCTGATCTGTTGCCATGGGACGGCCTGATCCAGCCCTTCAGCTAACTCAATGAAGGAGAGTGCAGATCCTGGTCTGCACTGAACAGTTCTACAGGAATAACCATGTCGGGGAGGGGTGTGATTTTCACAGCTGGTCTTATACCAGTAATAGCCCTAATGTGGATGCATTGACACCATTATTAAGGTGCCTTATACCCATATAGTTCTTCCCGTCCCATACAGAAATAGCTATACTGGTACAGAGCACATTTATACCCATATAGCTGCATCCACACAAGGGAGGGGAGTTATCCCACTTTACCTGTAGTGGCATAGTCAAAGCGGCGCAACTTTCGACTGTACAGCGTGGAGCAAAATTGTGTGTGGCAGATCAGGCATCCCAACGACCCAGCAAGCAATTTAATCAATGTTTGTAAGGATTAAATTCAAGTGTAACCCCTTTTATCAACTTGTTTGTATCTAAATTATCTTGAGATTTCACAGCTGTGTCAATGATGACTAAATTAAATAATGAGCATTAAAAAATATCTTCATGCCATCTTATTAGCACATTAGGCTTCTAAATATAAATGTATACGGATTCACGCTCTCAGATCCCCACCTCTCATCCTCTGTCCTATTGTGTCTCTTGCTGTGGCCTTGTGCAATGTCCTCATTCCTCTAATGCCTGCAGAACCAAACACAGATTGGAGCCCCATTGTGCCAGGAACTGTAGAAATACATGGTGAGAGACAGTCCCTATCCCAATGACTCTAAATAGACAAGACGGACAAAGGATGGGGAGAGAAACACAGGGGAAATGACTTGACAAAGGTCATGCAATGTCAGTCAGTAGCAGAACTGGGAGTAGAATCTCCCAGGTCTCCCAATGTACTGTCCTAGCCACTAGACGACACTGCCACCCTAACAAGGGACTCTGCTGATTGTCAGGATACGACTGTTTGGGAAATCTGTACGATTTGTGGATTCAATATGAGATTATGGACTCTCTGTGCATATTTTTAGCAAGCAGCTAACTCCATTTTGAATGTGGGGGCTTTGAGTGCTGTCTTCTCTGTTCCCTCTTTACCTCCAGGTTGAACTGAAATTCTGACAGGGCTGACAATAGAGGGTCGTTAACTTGGGATGGTCCTCTAGTCAAATACAAACATATTAAACAATAGTCTAGATCTCAACCAGGAAAACTGATTTATCAGAACAGAGGGTGTCTGGCAATGAACTTGCCTAGTAGAGGTCTTATCATTGTTAAGGCTGTTCCAGGAGTCACTTGACCAAGGACCTGAAAGGTTAGAAAAGGACTCACAGGAAGATGACTGAGAGCCGCAGAGGAGTTTTGGGCAGGAGAGGGAGAGGGGATGGAGTGGCCAAGGGCAGAATCGGAGAGCTGGGTGGAGACGGCTCCATGTTTCGGGACACAAGGCAGGCACTGAGACAAGAAGGACTCCAGAGCTTAAAGATAAGGACAGTGCCTGGACCCTGTTCAGACTCTGGAGGCTTAGGACATCCAGGGGATTCCACGGCTGGATCCCCTCACGGCAGTTTGGTGAGTAACCAAGAGGAGGGGCTCAGTTGGAGCTGTGACAAAGGTGCCTCTTACAAAAGACCCCTAAAAGGAAGGAGAGATGGCTCTATCATCCACAGAATATACACTACATCTAGCCATCAAGTTACACCTACCTTCCAAATACACTCCTTGTAAATCATTACTGTCTCACACACACACACACAATTGTCCGCCGACACTAGAGTGCGCTCAAACAGGTTGGATTCTTTGGGACTCTGTAAAGTGCCTTAATTCATCCAAGAAATGTGAGAACCGAGGAACAGTCACATGCCAGTGCATCTGTGGTTATGTGAAGGGGCTGTGATTCTTTCATCGTTTAAACTCAAGTGTATGGTATTATTTAACTAGAACATACAGCATAAGCTACCAATAAGTTGGCAGATACAAAATGAGTAACATACCATAGAGATACCTAGCAAATATTAAGATCCCAGTAAAACTTTCTAGAGAAGACTGGCTGCAGTCTCCGTCACTCTTTCTGCTTCTTGAAAAGACCATTTAAATCACCCTTGGACTTTAATACAAATTATCTCTATTTGTCTTAGGATCTACACAAACTATCACTAGTTACATAACAAACAAAGAAGCCAACTAGGTGGGTAGCTGCTACGTTCAGTAACTGATGGATCAATTTTCCTACTCACTCCAAGGCTCTGGGTGTAGTGTGGAGTTTTCTGCATGCTTTGGAAAACAGGTCATCTTCCAATTACAAGTACATTTCTGGCCCTTATGGGGGTAAAGAGCTGTAAATGCAGCGCATTTTGAGTCAGATCTTCAGCTCAGTTTTTGGCCCTTTCTGTCTGCGAGGCTATAGAAATATTCCTGCTGATAACCTCACAGTTTATACTGAAACAAGAACAGGACGCAAGGAACCGCTAAATATTTCATTGCTCTTTCCACTATAGGCCCAATTCAGCCCTGGTGCAAACAGGGTGCGTACACCAAATGTGGCTCTGTATGTTTGTAGAATTTCAGTATACCACCCTGGGGCTTTAATGCAAGAGGTCAGAGAAGTAGCTGATCTGGTAAAACACTCATTGAGGAATGTGACTGATTTGCTGCAATAAGCCATCAGACCACTGGGGGTACTAGAGGACAAGGTCAGAGATATTTTTTCCACTGTAAAAAGAAGAACAGGAGTACTTGTGGCACCTTAGAGACTAACAAATTTATTAGAGCATAAGCTTTCATGGACTACAGCCCACTTCTTCGGATGCATTTTTGCGGATAGAGACTAACATGGCTGCTACTCTGAAACCTGTCATTTTTCCACTGTGTAAGCAATCTTACAAAGGTCATCCCTGTTCAACCACAAGTCTATCATCCTCACTAGTGTCTATGCACATAGCTGGGAAAGACGATTCCCTCCATTGCAGGAATTCCTGAGTAAACCCTATGGTAAAACACACTCATTGAGGAATGTGACTGATTTGCTGCAATAAGCCATCAGACCACTGGGGGTACTAGAGGACAAGGTCAGAGATATTTTATTCACTGTGTAAGCAATCTTACCAAGGTCACTCCTGTTCAACCACAAGTCTATCATCCTCACTAGTGTCTATGTACGTAGCTGGGAAGGACGATTCCCTCCATTGCAGGAATTCCTGGGTAAAACACTATGGCTTGTGTTATACAGGAGATCAGAGCAAATGATCCGACACTCCTACTGGACTTAATATAGACAAACCACAGATCTGAAACTTGATCAGGGTCCCCCATGCACCAATGGACCTTATTTTTATAGTGGGCCAAAACCAAAAAACCCTGTTCTAAATACCCCCCAAACCCAGGAATGTATGCTTCAGTCTCACCATGGGTGTAAGGGTTAATTAATGTTGTTTTAGTGTGTGTCTACACTATCATGTAAGCCCAGGGTTCGAACTCAGGCTCGAGCCAAACCCTCCTTCCATCTATACACAAATCACGCTCAGAGCTCAGACTCAGGATATGAGCACCCCATGGGGGTGGAGGGCCAGAGCCTAAGTCAAGATGGGACCCAGGTTTCCGGCCATATTGCTTTCCAGTGTAGACACAGCCCTACTGGACTCGTGCTCTGGGAGACCCCCAGTCTCATGCTGTGCAATGACAGGCCAGCAGATATTACTGCCAACCCTCGCATTAAAGCCTCCCTAGGATAATCAGTTTTTCTGATGCCGATGTAGGCACGATGAGTTTGTCTAAGTTGCCACAGAACTTTTCTTTCTCGTTTTCAGCATTCGTCATGGTAGGAGCATAAGCGCTGATGGTGGTAATGTACCACTTATGTTTCAATGGCAACTACAAAACCATTGGATGATCACTTATGCCTTTAGGTAGACTTTTAAGCTTGCAAACAATGGAGTTGCTAATGGCAAAGCCAACACCCAGTTGGCTTGGCTCTGAGGCTGGGCAACCTCCCCAGAAGAATGCGTATCCTGCACCCATCCCTGCCAATTGACCTTTTTTCACTGAGCAAGTGACTTACTCCATGAAGCTAAAGGGGTAGGAAGGGGAAGCGGCTTGACACCCCAATGTGTCCAGTGTAGCTGCCCACCATTTGGCCCCGATCCAGAGCCCAGTGGAGAGTGAAGGCCCGGGCTCTCCTATCCACTCCCAGAGGACATTACAGCACCAGGGACCTTCACTTAAGGCACTGGTCCCCAAACCTTTTTTGTCATCCCCCCTTATCTGGTCCGTGCCTCCCCCAGAAGCCAAGATCAGGAGCTGGGCCCAGGAGCAGGTCCGGGAGCCACGGGCTCCGGTAGAGAGCAGGGCCGGCGCTGCTGGGGCCGCGGCTGGGAGTGGGGCTGTGGTCAGGGGCAGGAACGGGGCCGCAGCTGGGGCTGGAGCTGCAGCAGGGGGTAGGCCAGAGTGGAGCTGGAGGCCGGCCCAGACCCCACCATGCCCCCCAGAATGTTCCTCCAGGCCTCTCTAAGGA